GTTGATTTTTTACACTTAACGTAGAACGAACTCCGCGATCCGCGTTTCAAGATAAGTGACTTATCTAGATAAACATAAGCTGTCCCGAACGCACTCTTACACATATAACAATTGTATCTTTAATATATGATTAAAAATAGCATTATTATTCTTTTTTTTAAGTGAAAAACATATTTAAAATTTAAAACATTATAGTATTATTTATATAAAAAAGAAAGTTGTGCTGCGCTCTCCGACCTGTTGGTCGCCATCCATGATATAAGTTCCTTAAGGTGAAGAATTCGAATCCTCTCAGACACAGTTGGCCTTGAAGATGTGATATCAAATTGTTAGACACATTAGAAGTGATAGGAGACCTGTATAATAACCTCTAGTCATTCTTTTCTTAATAAACATATATTAAGGAAAATTTAGATGTGAGTTATGCAAATATATGATAATTGTGTGCTATTCGCTATGTTTAGATATGATATAATTAAATTAACATCCCACACCCTTTATAAAAGTTAATGTAATCATTCTTGCATCTCCATAATATTATTTTCTTTTCTTTTACACCATTTAAAATATTTTTTTTGGGGGCAAGACTTCTACAATATACATAATTTAAATTAAATTACACATAATTATATGACAAATTAACTCGAATTTAAACAATACAAGCCAAACCCATCCCCTTATTGATTCCACCATTGCAATGGATCTAATCATTCAGATGTCGATCTCCCCAGCTGAGGTCGCCGAGTCGCCATCACTATCATCACTATCATCGCTGCTGCTGCCACTGCCGCTCCCACTCCCACTACTCTCACTGCTCCCACTCGAACTTGAGCTTTCTTCCCGTTGTTGTCCCTCCTCGGCAGCATTCACCTGCGCCCGAAGAGCTTCGGCCGCATTGGGACCTTTGTTACCCTCGCCGTCGCTTGCATCGACATCGGCAATCTCGTCATCCGTGTCGGCTTGGTTTGACAAGTTAGACTCGACGAGATTGGCTTTTGGCGGCGAGGATTCATCTTCTTCGAGAATGTCCACACTATCATCTGGCTCATGAGTTTTATCATGGGGTGATGGAGGAAAGGGATTTGGAAGAGTTGAATATATGTCAGAAGTTGTTTTTGAAGGCTTTGAACCTGCTGATTTATTGAACAACAAAAAGTTAGAAGAACATAAATGTATTGAGGTGTAGATAGAGCTGTCAAAAAGGCTTGTTCTTCGCGAACAGCTCGTGTTCGGCTCGTTCGCTA